CAAAACATTTGTGAGCCTTGTTCTGAGCTCATTCTTTATGATATTCGTATACAAACAGAATGTCTACTAAAAATCTGGCTTTATTATATGCAGTAGATTTATCGAATAAGAACATCTGATGAAATGAGCTGTTTGTTATACATTCTCAGAATGAATCTGGATTAAGCAGCAAACTTTCGATCGTTTCACAGATTAACAGGGATGAGGTTGAACAACACTTGAAATGATCATATAGAACTGGTTTCTTTCACTTTATCACATCAGTTACGAATGCGACAAGGTCGATAACGACAGGAGAATAAGCAGAAGCGATGAGAAGAATACGGTGCCAGATGATACCGTACTTTCGGCTGAAATAGTTCGAGTTTTTTGTTCAATAACCTGAAAGAATATTTTGAAACAGTTCTGAAGGAGCATAGTGAATAGATTTTTTTTAATACGTTAAAACAACAATGAGAACACGCGCTTCACTTGATATGAATTTGATACAAGCTTTCTTCTAATTGTAAGAGTTAGCAACCGCATCATGCCTCATGGAAATTATTTCCAAGTGTCCGGTTTTTTGGAGGAAACATAAATAGTTTCTTAATCTCTGGATGGCATTGAATACATGTTTGAACTAATGGGTAAGCTACAATAGTAAACTGTCTCAGCGTTTCAAGGTGAAATTTATCGCTTCCTAATTGTAAGTTTCGCATCTATAGAGCAACATTCCGAACAGTGATTCACACACCCTTATTGCCGTATTGGTTGCATCAGTTTATAAGTGGTGTTCAAAAAGTTCATTGCACATTCCTCATTAAATCTCATAATAATTTCATCTTACCACAACAATATTATTCCTTCATCTACATCGGTGTTTCTTTTGGTGTTTTCTTGCAATAACACTGGGTTTTGGTGTTTGCAATAATATTTTTTGCAATATTACAAAACAAAGGATTAATAGCCCACAAGCATAAAGTGATAAAGTCAACCAAGTATTACATACAACATGCAAATCAATAAGGCAATATAAGATGATCATCCAAACACAAAGGGGTAAGATGATCATCGTCCAGCAGTATCTATATATGTTCCATTTCATCATGCATATCTTATATCGTTATAGATATATGATAATAGTGACTGATATGTATAATAATGTATCGTGGATAGTGGTAACATAACAATAACATAAAATAACATGAAATAATGACATAACAACAACATAATACATGTATGATAAAATAAAATGTATCCTTGCATACATAAATCCTAAAATGAAACAATAGTAAGGGGAATGATAATAATTTGAAGTATTTGCTAACCGCTTACTGATTAAGAGAATATGAACATCAAACTTAGAACAACTTTCATTTTAACCCGAAACTGAACGAAACCTGAAATTTAGCAAACCGATCAGAGTGTGAACATGCGATGTGCTGCGGTTGAATTAAAGGAGAATGAAGGATAATCTTTGGATTGATTTGTTTGGCAATTCAATGAGGAACTACTGAACAATTCAATCGAATAGTACAAGAAAATTATGCAAGCACATCAGAAGAAAACCACTGACTGATTCAAATGATCTGCTGATTCGAAACTATCACAAATCGATCAGCTCTCGCTCACTACACCAAAAAACGCATAGTCAACTAATTCTCGGAAGATTCCGTTTGCTAGTAAGCATTGTTCAAAGATTTAGCAGGTTGGGTCGCCTTTGTGAAAAGAGAAAGAGACGAGTTTGGCTGCATCGAATTCTTTGAATTGGTTAAGCAAATGCACAGTTTTCATTTGAGGAAATAAGTGGTTTAATTAAGACACTACATACATACGTATCCCACAGAGACGTGTTGTTAATGAACGATTTGCTTGAATAAACAAATAAATACAGCACTGATACAACTGTAATTTTCAACTAAAGAAGAAGAACGAGATAATTTCTAATGAAAAAAACGAATAGGTACAGTGAGATCAGGTCTTTGGTAGTATGGTTATTGGGTCAAGAATTAACATGAAAACGTTTGCTCAATTTTGGGTTTGATATCTGCATTAGTTAAAGATTAACTTCATAGATTGCTTGCTTCCTAATCGAATACCTTTCATAAAGCTATATCAGTAACAAGCGCAAAGTCGCTCATTTACATACGTTCTATCGCTATAGATCAATATCAATACATTGCTATTGCTCCATAGATCTTCAAGGTACCCGTATCCTTAAGTTTGCCCAGTAACATGTCATTTTAACTGCACCATTAGATTGTTCAGAATCTCTACGTTCAGAATATCATATATCTTGCTCGGAAATTATGAACAGATCAGGAGATATAGCTGTTTTCTAAATGCTATACGGGTTGCCATCATCGATCCTAATGTCCCCAAAAACATGTTATCTAAAACCTGAGCAATCAAGCCAAATGTAACCTAAAGCATCGGTAATCAAACCAAAGGTTACCTGAAACATGGGATTAACGACCTTCAAGGCCACCGTATGCTCATGTTTGCTCAGTAGCATAAGAACTTTTTGCATATTTCGATCCAACTGGATCTCGGCATTCAGAAAAACATATATTTTGCCCGGCGATTTTGCTTTCCTGAGGAGATTTAGCCACTTTCGTAGACATACCTCAATTAGATGACGAAGTCGCGCTTATTCACACAAATTGATCACTATAGAGCAATCAATACGTTCATATGACAATAGACGGATTGCGATGTTCGAGCTAACCGTCTTCTCAGGTTTGCCTGAAAACGAGTGAACTTCTTTTTACCGTTCGAACCAGCAAAACATAGAGATTCAGAATATTATAAATTTTACCAAACAATTTGGCTTAGTTGTGGAGATATAGGCATTTTCTTAATAATATCTTGGGTGCCACATTCAAGGCTACCGTAAGCTCAAGTTTGCCCAGTAACATGTGAATTTTTTTACATCAGTCCGTCCACGTCGATCTCCTCATTCAGAAAAATGTATATGTTGTCGAGAGATTTTGCTTTTCTGAGGAAATATAGCCAGTTTCTTAGACCAATCTCAATTAGATGGCGCAGTCGCGCTTATTCACACAAATTGATCACTACAGAACAATCAATACGTTCATATTAGAAATAGGCGGATTGCGATGCTCGATCTAACCGTCTTCTCAGGTTTGCCCGAAAACGTGTGAATTTCTTTTCACCATTCGAACCAGCAGAACGTCTAGATTCAGAATCTCATGTCATTTAACCTATCCGAGATTATCTGCGACTGCAAATGACGTGTTTGTTCATCGTTGACGGTTTAAGATTACGAGGAAATTTACGAAACTTTATTTTAATATTGATTTGTGTCATTTCGATGAGGGTTATACCGCTGAAGTCATCAGTCAAGAAATAACTCATCTGTAGACATTTACTTCGAATGAAATGCGGATATGTGTCCCGAGTTTCCTGAATTTCAATTTTTACAAATCTTTCGATGGTGAAAAGATATTTCAATAATATGTTATGCATATTTGTGGAAAGCTAACGGGATGTAATCAAAGATTTAAACGGTTCTTCTCTGGGCTCGATATACCAAGAATTACGACGTTCTGAAACCTGCAGAGTTTGGAATTCTTGAATTTCTATTGACTTTGAGAGAAATTCGCCTGAAAGAGGTACTGATCCATAAATTTCGAAGAATTGGTTGTGACAAGCACATAATTAAAGGGATTTATGTTGGATTGAAGAAATTTATTCGCGTGATTTTTGCTGAAAAATCATTCTAGCAAGAATGCAGTCTGTATAATGGCACTGCTGTCCTCTAATCCTTTTTTACTTGAGGTTCACTAGTAACTTCGTTGAGAATCGAGAAATTTGGATTGTGTGAGATCTCATGATTTTGAATGTGATGATCTATTGAAGAATAATTTATCAATGCATAAAAACTAATGATGATGGTGATGATCAAAACTTATCGTTCAAGTTTATCATCTGCTCTACTCACTGTTCTCTGTTTGTCTCAATTTTTGCTAATCTTTCGATGGTGAAGAGAAATTTCAATAATTATGTTATGCATATTTGTGAGAAGCTTTCGTGATGTAATCAAAGATTTAAACGGTTCATCTCTGAGCTCGATATACCAAGAAGTACAACATTCTGAAAAGTGCAGGGTTTGGAAATCTCCAATTTCTAATGATTATAAGAGAAATTTGCAGCAATATACTTGAAAGAAGTACTGCGCCTTAAATCTTGAAGAGTTGGTTGTGACAAGCCATATTGAATTAAAGAAGTTTGTTCCTGTTGTTTTTAGCTGAAAGATCATTATAGCATGGTTGTAGTGTTTATAATAACATTACTGTGCCACTGATTGAATCTGTTTTTCCCTTCTCTCCAATCCTTTTTTACTGGAGGTTCACTGCTAACTTCGTTGAGAATCGAGAAATTTGGATTGTGTGAGATCTCATAATTACATCGGTCTTGATGATTATGCATCTCAATTGTTTCATGTGTTGTGGCGAATCGTTTTACACATACCATCAGTAGTTGAAATCAAACTGCACTAAAAGTGCGGTGTGATGAAATGGCCAGAATTGAGAATTCGGAGAGAATTATATATGAGAGCGAATCATTGATGCGTCTGAAGTGAATGAGAATCGTTGACCTGGATTGCGCATGCTTTTCGCTGACTCCGCCCCTGCGCTCAGACGCGTTTTTATGGCGAAGTGCGACGACGCCGATCTGCCAAATGGATTATAAAAAGAGAAATTCATCATATTTATTGTTTGCTTTTGTTTTTCCGTGATTCTTTATAATTTCCGATTATTTATCAACTGTGTGTGTTTGAAGTCAGTGAAATAGCATTTCATTAGTTAGCTTGCATTAGCCACATCACAGCCGTTTATTCACTGTGACATTAGTTTCAAAGAAAGCTGTTGCATTGCGCTGACATTATTACATGATTAGCAGGAAGAGATAATATTTTCTGAAGTGGGTCGGTGAATCGGCTGAAATCCGTTCAAACGACCAACTACAACGAAAGATTCGGTGTTCACCGTGAGCGAATGGTATCGGCGCGTAGTACGGAAAGCACAGCGGCGTTACTCCGGCGATCTTCGGCTTGTTCTTCAGGAACGTCGGCTCCAATGCGTTTAACGGCCTACGACCGGAGTAGGAAACCACACCCGCTCCGGACGGGCATCGATGCGCGCACGATCAAAATCGAATGGCTCGCTCGAGAGTTAAATTGTGGTCTGTGTAAGAAGACAATCCAAAATGCAATGGTTATAAGGGTATGCTGGTTATGTTCATTCATTAGCACAAATTGTAGTTAGGAAGTAACGCTGTAGAATTTTCGGTACTTGTGCTGTTTAGTCCCTCCACCCGTACGGAAGATCACGCGCGCGTGCGCGTAGCCACGCCTACTGGATAAGCCTAAGCCTGAGCCTAGGCCTAAGCCTAAGCCTTAGCCTAAGCTTAAGCCTAAGCCTGATGCCGAAGTCAGCGTAACAGAATGGGTGTGGCCTAAAGCGCGTATGACAACGTGCGGCGGTGTTGTTGAAAGCGCAAATGGTGTCTGCGTGCGTGTGGAGGGACTAAACAGCACAAGTGCCGAATTTTCAATTCTCATTTGCAACAACTGAAAATTGAGAAGTTAACCTCTGGCTTTGAAGAGTTATTTACGTAGGTAAAGTGTTGCAGAACTGTATGCATCGATTCTGCGCGGATTGTATTCTGCCAAAAGTTCAGACAGGTGTCAAAAAATGTCCTCTGTGTAAAAAGGTTCTACCGAAGAAAACGCCGTTAAAAAGTGACGCAAATTTTGATTCGGTTATTAATAAGGTGAGTGTGACGAGAAGATTTGGTGGATGTTATGTCTTTTATATTCATTTATTTATCAACTTCTTGTTTGTTTATCTCATTTGTCTCATTGTAAGTCACCATAATAATATTTCTTTCTTTCAGTTTGCAATGTCACCCGAGCGAAAAACACTGAAACGATCAATTTCTGAATCCAATAGCCTGTGTGAGCAATTACGTTTGGTTAATGTTGTTTTGTGGTTGTCTCTATTTCTTTACAGTTTTTGTGTATGTTCTAGAAGAATGAGAAGTTAGGGCAATGAAGAGCCAAGCTATTATAATTATTGCTACTACTACTGGGTCTCATTCCATCATGATTATATTCACTTATTCGTTTATGATGAGTGAATATGGCTGTTCAGGTTTTGCCAAGCGTCGTCTATTTTCATCGGATAACTACGGTGGTAAAAAGCTTTCTTCTGCGACCCCCTCTTCTGCTACACCAAAGCAAATTCAATCTCAAACTGTGACCGAATCATCGTCCCCAAAAGTGTCGCCATCCACGTTGAAATTGTCTCGTTCTCAGCAGCAGCAACAACAACGCGCTCAGATTTTATCATCGTCATCGAATGATGCAGTTAGTGGGTTGGACGAGACGAAACCTTCCGAAGGAGGCGGCGGGGGAGGGTCAAGTCGAGGCACACATTTTAGAGGTTCACGAACTGAGGTGATATCTGCTGATGAGTCTGTTGAACCTCCCCGACTGGTGATCGACGAGAGTGCCCGCGGCGGAATTGGTATGGTTTTTTGATTTTTTTCCCCATTACAAGGATTCTTGTTTTGCAGCGCGATTTTCGTTTTTTTTGTTTTTGTTACAAGGATTTCTTTTGCTTTGTTTTTTGTTTTATTTTTGTTGTTTGTTTTGGTGATCATACCAGAAGAACTGCCAGATTTTTTGTTGTTGAAACAAATTGATCCCGGATTTTGATGAGCAGTCACTGAGTAATTTGTTGTTGTTTAAATAGATGATCGTCAGCAGTCAACGTCATCAAATGCTCGAACCAATCAGCATTCTCATCACCACAAAAATGCAACAACTAGCTCCAACGATGCCACATTATCATCAGTGTGTTTATTCATGTTATATTTGTGTTATCTTCATTATTACTCTTGTTTGCTATTTATTTCTTCATTGATATTTTGCAAAATAGAAAGTGGTTCGATATTGTTTTGAACTAGGAATTAGTTGGTTCGTTCGGTCGTGTGTATATGTGCAGCGAAGTGGTAATGTAATTGGCACAATACTTGAAAATTTTTACTTTTAATATTATTGTCAATATGTTGTTTGTGTTTGTGAAAAGATTTCATAATTCATCTATGTTTTTCAGAATAAAACGTTGTTGGTGCAGAGAGGTGCAGTGATAAATTTTTCATCATCATCGCAAAATAGCAATTGTTTGTTGCAGTCGTCAGCCGATACAAGTGGTACCTCAACTTCATTATTGCTGGTCGGGGCGACGAGTCTGAATTTAGGTGAGAATCGTGTGATCATTACCGGAAGTGCAGATAGAAGAACTTCACCAAAACAAACACCAATTATTTTATTAAAGCAATAAAATTCGAGCAGTGAGCTCTCGAAACTATATAATTTTATTTTATTTTTTCCATTTTGGTTGATAATCCAAGTCAGTAAAAAACTTTATACAGTTCTCACCAAACGCAGAAAGTTAGCTTATGAAGAACATCTCTTTTTGTTTTCAATCAACTGAAGTCCCGTTGTATCCAATGTTATTGAAAAAAAATTGTTTCAACTTGGTGTGTGCTCAGTGTCTGAGCGTTATTGTGCAATGTTGTGTTGTGGTTGTCAAGTTTTATTACTTTTTTTGAAAATGGTAGTATATTTAGATTGAGTGAAGAACATTTCAAGAGGAATGGGAATTGATACAGTGAATTTTTAATTTTCATGATCGTTATGAATAATATCTAGAGAAAAGGAATATGATGATTTAAACTCATAGTAGTATGATGTGTTTAGCGATCGGCACCAACGATGGGTTACCATTTTATTCACTATTTCATTTAATCTTTTTTGTAGGGAATTGTTCAAATGATGGTGAGACAACGTCAACGAATAGTAGTGGATTACCGAAAACGAACTTAGTCTCCTCTCCGTCTTCTTTCGTGATTACTTCGTCATTAGCCACAAATAATTGTTCGGCATCGTCATCGTCACAAAATTTAGCGTCGAATGGCATTCATCCATCTCGATTGGGATTTGTAAAGTTGACAACAGATCAGATCGATTCGTTATCGCATCAAGCTACCCAACAACGATCATCTTCTAAAGCAGTAACAGATAGCAATAACAATGCTACAAATAATATTGATGATAGTAATAATGCATCACCAACGACGGTGAACTATATCCCGATTCAATCAAATGCGCAAACTCCTTTATCGAGTCAGCATGTGTCCACATCACCTGCTCTGATGATGGGTGATAGTTGTTTGTCGTTTTCAACTTCTACTGATAAATCGGTGAGTGGATTTTTTAATTCTTCATTCATATAAAAGGAAAGGAAAGAGATATAGGCAACATCATGTCCAATTCACTATCACGTAAGGGTCGGTGTCAAAAGTGTTCGTATTTGAATTCTGGATAAGCATCAGTTCTGTGCAGCACATGTTTCAGTGTAAATCAAAAAGGTAAACTTAATCCCTAGGTTAAATTTGAGCCTCAATCCCAGCGGTGAGTCTCACAGGTATTAGCACATAAGGTTGAGGTTTGTGTGTAGTCCGGAATACTCTACAAGATTGCCTTTATTTTGTTTAGCGCGTTTTTGTTTTTAATACCATTTTGATTAGTGAACAAAAATTTAGCGGTTGTAATTTTAGCGTGGTGTTCAGTCTAAATGCGCTCAACAGATCTCGATGGCAGCAACAACCACAACAAAAAGTTCATTGTCATCGCAGCAAAATTCTGTTCGTCTTTTGTTGTTTTCATTGCTAATTTTTGTGTTCACTGAAAAAAAAGGAAGTGAATTTTGGAAAATCGATAACTGAAAAAGATCGAATCGTTTGTTCTGTGTTCATTTTTATGCGGTGTGAAGCTGTCGTGAGAAGTGGTTGAAGAAGTCAAGAAATATTGCAGAATATCACCGACAGTATAAATAGTGTTTGTGCGAGTATTTTTACTACAACCCAAACACCATCGTCGGCAACAGGACGAGAGCATGCATCTTCATCATCAAAATATAATTGTAATTCTTTTGATTTATCCAATCGCATAAAAATGTAGCACTGATGGTGGAGGTGGTGAAAGCCACTCAACAACTGCGAACGAAACGAATTTTACTTGAATTTGAGATCGTCTATCGAGTGTTTTTCATTTCTTCTCTTATTCGTTTTCATTCTATAATTTCAACCTTTGAGTTAACCAATCATCGCTGTATTGTTCGTTTATTTATTTACTTGATTGCTCATCGATATCTCCTCCAATTGTGATTATCATACGCACATGTTCAATAGCTTAATCTGGCTGTTTGCACATGTAAATTTTCAAGTGTTTGGATCCGTCCAGTGCAAGCTAGGGATCTGTTATTGGCTTGTTTGTCGAGTAGTTTTGTAAATTGCAGATAAGCATGTTAATGGTGAAGTTCTGAGAGTATGTGTGTCTGTGTCGTAAAAACGCACAGCACATGGTTGATAATTAAAGATGATAATTTAATTTTGTTGTTATTTGTCGTTTTTTCTTTCATGAAACATTTTGTTTCAGTATCATTGGAAAGGAGTTCTCAACAACAACAGAACTGCGGCAACAGATGCTCAACGTCTACGACGATTACGAATGAAAATGGTGCGGTGACTAAGACAGTGATGACGATGCCGATGGAACAGCAGTGTGCAACAACGACAGTTAACAGCGCCAATAAGCCCAGTTGCACCACGGATGCAGCTAGTTCACTGTCGATCACAAGCACGAATATGACAACCACTTGTGGTCTATCGTCACCATGTGAATACCTCTTCTTACCGTCCAAGCAACGCATTTTAACCGGTCTCGACGCGGAGCTAATCCTCTACCCGGATGCATCAGTTACCGTCGATAAGAAGCTGCCGAAGTGTGCAAAACAAGTGCGCTTCATACTCACATACCCAAGTGCAACAGTGGCACATCTGCGAGAGTTTGTCTGGCAACGTATTGCTGTCGAGAGTGGAAATTCGCAGTTGATACAGAAGTTGAGGAAGAGGAAGTGTTTGGTGATCAGTGCGGTCAAGGTGGACTTGGGCATCGATGACGTGTTGGTGGTGAATGAAACTGGCGAGGGACAGTTCACAACAATTTCGATTCGAAGTGAGCGATGCGATGCACAGTGTAGCTCGATTTTTACAATCACTGAACCGTTTTCGGGTTAGTTGATGTTTACTTTTGAATTTATTTCGCAGGGTGCAAGTAAATGAATGGCATCAGTAGTAGTAATAATAATAAAGTTAATGATAATGATAATAATAATAATAATAGTTGTCGTAATAGTAAGAATAAGAATATTGGTGATAGTCGCATTATTATTCTTATTGGTAACAGCTTGAATTTATTCATTTATTTCTTCTTTCATTTAATCGGCAATTTCGATAATAATAATAACTGTAATAGTGATTGCTTACGATTAGTATATAAATAAAAGTCCCTCTGTCCTGTATTAGGGATAATAATAATAATAATAATATCGCAACCATGAATAAGTAAATTGCTCATTCTTTATTTGGTATTCGTACAGTTAAAGACATGTACGGAATCATTCATAGCTTGATAAAATAACTAGAGCTGTATAGTCGAACTTTTTGATGATAAATACCTTACAACAGTGATTTCTTATTTCAGCTTTAGATGACACGTTAACGGTTGAAAACTTAAGATCGGACTATTGGGCAAACAAGAAGAGGCCGTTGAGGTTAATCTTCAAGTTTTTGTCGAGTTGCAGTACCGCTGTTAATAATTTACCATCTAATAAGTGATACATAT